GGTGTAAAGCCGATTTCCAAAAATAATTTATTATGTTTTTTGGGGTAGTTCAACTATACTTTTTAACTACAATACTATGTCAGTACATTTTTACTACTACGGTATTTAATTTCTAGAATAATCTGTTGTGTATGGTCTGTACTGTATGTGTTAAGTTAATCTTTAAATTCATCAAAGATGTAGAGCATTACAAAAATAATGTTCTTATGAATTTGTCCTCCTTCATAATCTAGGGTGCTGAGCTCTAGCCCATGTTTTACACATTACTTCAGACAAAGCATCAACGGTGCCATTATCATATCAATGCTAAAATCCATTGCTGATTGGCAGGATTTAAACCCAGAACCTCTGGTACTTAACCTCAAACGTTCTTCATCAATATCAACTCGCTTCCCAAAGAACTATTAAAAACTGTTTCAGATTCCACACTATTTCAACCTATTTTTAGCTTCATCAGTTTTGAAAAAAACAGTTCCCAAATATAACAAAAATTGAGTCCATCCGAATTTCACCTAAATTAAAAAGAAAGATTTAGAATGATCGCCCAGTCGGCTTCAGTTAAAGCTAATGGAGGGAGCACTGAGTGTTGGTGGCATGTAAATAAAGCGTCACATTGCTGTGAGATATGTCGCTGCGAGTGGGCTTGAAGCTGCGGCATTGTCATCTCATTCAACCACGGGTTACAGTTACGCATGTGTTTAATTTGAAATATATCCAGTGTTCTGCAGTGAGGTTGCTGTTTTAATTGATTTTCTTTAATAACCGAACGTGTGGGGAGCGAGCTGGTCTAGTGGTTAGAGCATGGGACTTCATGACCTGAGGTCCCGGGTTCAAATCCCGCCAAGTCACCAGTGGATTTGATCTAAGTGATAATGCCGCAACCCCTAGGTCTAGCCTGAAGTAACCCGGGCTCGTGCCTAGCGTCAATCAATCAATCAATCGTTCCTAGCCTCCATATAAAAAAATAAAAAATAAAAAAATAACTGAACTTGATCCCTCAGATTTAAAATCGCTCTACGAACTTGAATCTCTTCTACAACAAATGTGGACTCCCCCAATTTGATTTTGGTTAATCAGAACAAAATGGCAAAATTAAGGGTTTTTTTTAGTTAAAGTAACATTGTTTACAAAACCACTTTTAATTAATCTTGAAAACAATAAGAACTCTTATTCTCTTATAATACAGTAACTGTAACCCTTAAATTTACTGACTCATGAAACCGAGAATAAACAAGGTCACTACTAAAAAAACACACATATGTAAAATGTCTTTACCTTCCGAATCTACGTAATTTCAGTGTTGAGGTTACATTTCCTTGTGTTGTGATTTTTCCATTTGACACTTTTCTTTCGTAGGATTATTCACCACGACGTTGTGAGATATGAGGTCTCGACGGAAGTGACAAAAACCGACATTCACAAATCACCCTCTCTTCTGTCGCTGTAACTTTAACCCCCCCCCTTCCCCTAACCCCCGACCAATTACAATACATGCAGCAGGGTGTTTCGGAACAATAAATACATCTTATAGTATCAAGGCCGTGATGTTAATTGACATTGTATAAAGTACTTTTTGTAGAGTGATTTATTTGTCAACGTTTTATTCAACTTTTGCTGCACAAGGCAAACTTTGTTGGGAGTGAGCTTATGTAGTATTTTTCCCCCATGGGCGCTAGACAGTAGTCCGAGATAGTTTTTCACATTAGTTCAGGTTAGAACTAGGGGTTGCAGCATTATCAACTTAGATAAAATTCATTAATAATTTTGCGGGACTGAAGTGACCTGACCAGCTCACTCTAGTGCTGGTTCTAGTGCTCTAGAGCTGGTCTAGTGGAAGAGCGCAAACTTTGGTCCCTGGTTCAAATCCTGTCAAATCATCAATAGGTTTTAGTTAGGTGATAATGTCCCAAACTTTAGGTTAGGTCAGTGAACAATCAAAACCATTAGCCAATGTAGTATCAATTTGATAAAATCTCAATAGCATACATTGATACATCTCAAGTTGTGTGTATGATGTAATATGACTCGTCTGAAGGTATTGGAATCCCGACAACTGCGGGTTTAAGCAAGCGATTCGTTTGACTTCCAACCTCTATTGCTACCATTACTTTATCGCTTTTGCTCTTTATCTACATTCTACACTTGTTTCAAATATTTGTTAAAGAAAACTTACATAAAAAAATTATTAAAATGGACTTTTGTGCGTAAAGGTAGGAGAAATTAAAATGAAAACTTAACTTGAATAAATAATGATGATAAAAAAAGTTTCAATGATTTAAAGAGAAAACCTAAAACGTAAGAACATATCTGATTTTCGGATAATCTCCAAGTCAATACAATTCCTGGTCTTGTCTTGGTTTTGTCTTGTATACAATTCAGAACTGCAAGATTTGTATTACTGTAAAATATCAAATTTATCATGGATAGGAAATTTGTATTAGCACAACTTAAAAACATTATGGGAAGTGAGATACAATTTGGGTTCATATTGTAACATGATCAAAGAAATTTTTGTATTGGCTCGATCGTGTTTTACCTCAATAATTGTTTTAAATATTCTCTATCATTTAACCCTTTACATTTACTTAATTTTAAACTGTGGAACTCACAGTGAATCCGAGACCATATTTACAATCTATTTATTTTATTTTCAACCCCAAATAAGTAGTTTGCAATTCATCTTACAAGGGAAATAAATTGTACAGTAAAAAGGTCAGGGAGGTTTTCCTGTGTACTAAATTATTCCAAAGAGAACCACACAGTAGTTCGGATAAAACTGGTATTTCACTTGTCAACAATAATTAACAGTGCATAACTGTGGGGCTTTGAGACAGACCCCCCACCCCTAATGTAGCTTCTACTGGTGTATGTTTGTTTATTCCAAGTGGCAACTTAAACTCTGTTCCTAATTGATGGCTAAAACCATTGAATTTGTAATTCCATTGCACTTAATTATAGAAGGAATACTTTTCCTCTATCCAGTAGACTGGAATGTAAAATGAACTCATATTTTGTTGGTGGGTTTAGAAAACAGGTTAAAGTAGATGTTTTATATTTGTTTCACATTTTTGTAAAAGTGAGTAAATGATTGATTATACAGAAATAATTGTTTTTGAATTAACTACAAAAGAAATTACTTAGAAAAGTATAGTTATTTAAATAATGATGATACTTTCAAACAAAGCATGCAATATTTTAGGTGATGGTATAAAAATATATAGTAGACATTTATTTTATGAGCAGTTGTAACCAACAAACCGAATGCTTAATTCCTCAAAGATTATAAAATCTTTTTCTTAGAGATTTAAAAAACTTAGACAGTTTTCGTCTTCAATGCAATCTTTCCTCAATTACTTAATAACAGGACCTTACAGCTTAAAGTGTACATGTTAAGTGTGTGTCGTACCATCTGATAGTGCATTATAACATTTAAAAATGCCTTTGGTCATTGGAGGGATTCGAACCATAACCCCTAGGTCATATAACTGTGCTTAATCATTCAAATATTATTATTTTGTTTTAGTCTGTTTGTTTCAATTATTTTTGACATTATTCAAATTATGTTTGTTGTCTTCTTTTCCAATAATTATTGGTCTTTATACCATTTTCACTTTTTAAATGATTGTTTTCAGTTCTCCTGTGTTGGTTTATTCATTTAATAAATCCTTATGATAAAGAGCCTATTGTTTTAGTAAAAATTTATTTAAAGTTTTTATATAATTTTGATTTGCCTTGAAAGCTTCAGGCAACAAAAGAATGCCTATAGGCAGTTATCGTTTTAATTTTTTTGTCTTATGATTGTGTTTTACACAATCCCCCTATACCATAGTATATGGAGAAAGTATTGTTTTCGTCAAAATTTTCGAGTTTGAGTTTTGAGTGGATATATTCGTTTTGGGTCCCCCTGGACCCAAAAAAGTGGTTTTCAAAGTGATGTCTGTGTGTGTGTGTGTGTGTGTGTGTCTGTGTGTCTGTGTGTCTGTGTGTCTGGATGTGTACAGAGCTAGAGACCACACCTGTGGTCCAATTTCGATGAAATTTGGTATGTATGTTCCAACCCATGGTATCTCCAGGTGTTTTTTTCATTTTTTTGAAATTTTGATTTTTAATGGGGATTTTCTCAAAAATGGCCCGAACGATTTTGATAGAAATTTAGTATGTTGTAGCCCTTTAAATTCTGAACAAAATGGTACAAATCCCATTTCTGTAAAAATTACGGTTCAAAAGTTATGGTAATTTATGTTATTTTTCTATAAAAACCCCATAAAATAACGAAAAATAGGATTTTAGACAAAAATCCTGTTTTGATTTAACATAGTATGTTATGGTCCTTACAATTTTGATAGTTTTTTTACTTTTTGGAAATTTTTATTTTTAATGGTGATTTTCCCATAAAATTCCATAAAATAACGGAAAAAAAGGATTTTCCCAAAAATGGCCCGAACGATTTTGATAAAAATTTAGTATGTTATAGTCCTTTATATTCTGAACAAAATGGTACAAATCCCATTTCTGTCAAAATTACGGTTCAAAAGTTATTGTAAATTATAATATTTTCCCATAAAACCTCATAAAATAACGAAAAATCAGATTTTTTCCAAAATTAGCCCGAACGATTTTGATAAAAATTTAGTATGTTATAGTCCTTTAAATTCTGAAGAAAATTATACAAATCCCATTTCCGTATATTTACTCTCACCGCTTACACATGATAAAGGTTGTTGACAAACTTATGGGAGAAAGTATGTGTCAGAATGCTGATACCGTTTATTTTACTTTTCTGCCTATTTAATTAGTTTTATTTACTTACTATTTTATTGATCTGTTGTTGACCTTTTTGTCTTTTGTCACCAGCCATTAACTGAAATTTACTTTCTATTTTGAAATGTTTGCTAATGTTGCTAAGTTTTCTACAGTTTGCTTCATGGTTTGTTTTCCACTATTTACTCACGTTAGTTTTCTATTTTGTACTTTTTACTAAAGTCTATTGTTTGTTACAGAGGTCAAGCAGGAATTGGAGGACTTGATGGCTGATATCAAGAAAACTGCCAACAAAGTCCGCGCCAAATTAAAGGGTGAGTACGTAGCACTCACTGTTTCCCAATTTTAAACATGATTTGATAATCAAAGTATTTAAAATCTCTAAAGTAAGTCATTAAAATTAGGAAAAGGAAAATCTCAAAGACTAGCTCAAAAACATTGCTATCATCCAACTTTTTTCAGAATAATTTTTAAATAAGAAGTTGATAGGCAATTTTTGCTCGCTCCTTCATTACTGTATAGACATTTCAGTTTGAATTTTCTTGGGTCTACTAAAGGAATGGATGTATATGCCACTGTATAGTCAGTGTTTTTTACAATGTTAAGTGTTTACATAAAAATGGCTACTAGATCAAATTAATATTCATATTCTTTGAGATGGGAACGCCACTTATGAAATGAAATTAAATGAACTACTGTATATTTATTGTCTTTTGAATTTTTTAAAATTATTGACAATGTCATAAAATAGCAAAAATTATAGCATAGTCAGTGATTGAATACAATATAGCTAACTACCTAAAAGTAGACATACAATAGGTACATATTTTAAATATTGCTACTGATCTTTATGATAAGAAAACTTTTTGGCATGTAGAATAATGGAAATATTAAACCTCATAACCAACAAAATTTAACAGTAATAAGGTTAATTTGCTAACTCTACTTAAAAATCTATACAAGGCATTTCAAAGAAATCGTTTAGAGAATAAAAAGAGTGGAATATGTGTGTTTTTCAACCCAAATATGAGTGAAGGATGAGTATAGAATCGAGTGAGATGATCTGTGGAGCTTTGTTACTGACTAAGACTATATGTTTCATTAGTCAAAACCATTTATTGAAAGCCCAATAATCAAGGACTCGATAATTACTATGCTTCCACATATTTAACCAAGTATTTGGAAAGAACAGATGCATATACTATACATTACCAATCCAACAGAAATATTTTGTAACGTCATAAACATCAAAATCTGCACAAAGTATTCAAATTTTGCTAAACAGTATAAAAAACATTTAAACGAATTTGTATTTCAACATATTCTCCCTTTGAAGTGGATTCCAGGTGCTGTAATGTGTGTTTCCGCTCTGTTTGCGAAAAATTCCTACAAGAATCAATATGAAACAGTGTCGGTATTGGGGAGCCAACTGTTACGAGGCTCGGGGTCGTACATTTCACATTTAATGTGGTGGTAGCACTGTCTCCGTGCAGTTTAGTTGGTACTGACTTGGCAGTGTGCCAACGTAGGAACATTGCAACCCCCCCCCCCTCCCTGGTCTACCCTCGCTTATCGCCGAGTCATGAGGGGTTATTGCTTGGCTGTAAAATTAGATTATTTTGTTGCAGAAATAGGTGAAGTGTGATTAAATATTGGTTTTGTCTTCAAGTCACATCCGATAAAACCAATAGAGTTTTGTCTTAACTTTGCATAGAACCCTGAAGTTTTTGGGGTATTTTTACGTTTTATATACAGTAGAACCTCGATAACAAGACCCTCGATAATATGGGTAATTTTCAAATCCCCTGGAAATTATTTTGTCCCTAATCACAAGTTATTGCAAACATCGATAAGAAGTCAACCTTGATGACAAGTCTTATTTCATAATCCCTATAGACAATATCTTTTATTACAATTTCATCAAGAAATGTTACAGCGTCAAATTTAGATAAATAACATTGGTATAATAGAGACAAAGTGAAATGGAAAAACTTCTTCAGTGTTGTGTGTGGTCTTGCCATGCGAAGAACTCCTTTAGGGTGTAGAGTCTTGTTATCAAGGTTCTACTACTTGTACATAAAAGCTAAAACGATTATTATTTTAATTTCTGTATGCCTGTCGCTCAGCAATTAGGAAATTTACGCTACCTACCCGGGAGAAAATTATAGTACAAATCAAGCACTAAATACTTAATTAGATACTTAATATTTACACTTACTTATACCTTTGACTCTTATACCTACTTAATTAATAAGATACACTTGGTAATATTGAAATCATTATACCTGTAAGTAAACATTTTTGAAAACAACAGTCATTGCAGAAATAGAAATACCCAAATAGTAAAAATTGTTAAAAAATAAGAACATTCCCGAATTATTAACAAAAGGCTTATCAACAATCATGACAAGATATGTTACTGGACAGTAATAATACAAAATGGATCTATGACTTACTCATTTTAAACCCCCTCATCAAGTTTAAATTTTGTATTTTAAACTACTGTTTTATTCAAATCATCTCTAACAGTGACAGTAAAAGTAAAATTGACTGAAAACAGCTGTGATTTGACTGAAAACAGCTGTGATATTGACTGATTGACCTGATCAGTAACGAAGTAAGGTTGGTCAGTTAGTGGGTCGGTTGTGGTTCTAATTTGGTAACCGAGAATAGATTCTGACATTGTCATGGTTACCGGGTTACTGGCGCTGGAAAACTTTTCCTTCGACAAGAAGTATTGGTATCGACAGGGTAATGGGCAAAATATAAGTACATAGGTATAGAGAGTTTTTATTTGCACACAACATTCTTTTCATAAAGTATATACAGAATAAAAAAGTAAACATGAAGATAAATATAAATTAACAAAATTAGATGATACAACTCTAATAAACTAAAAGGGGTCAATTAATCGGTTGCCTATTTTATCTTTGAAGTTTATTGGGATTGTGCCAAATTTAGAGACTGAAATTTGTTGCCATTGTTTCTAAAAAATTGAATTGCTTGGTGGTTTTTTTTTTATTTGAGTTTTTATCCATTGCTCAAGAACCAACTCTTCATGTTATTTTAGCTTTAATTGATATACATTTTAGTGAGGATACGTTTATTAAATAACTAGCCTAATCAAAATATTTCTTTTTATCCTACATAGTATTGTTCCTGTACTAATGTGGTTTACTTTATGAACTTCATAGTTTATCAGTTTGCCTGATATATAAAATTTGAAATACCAGAAGTGTAATCTAGTGGAAGCTATGGTTCTACTTCTTCTTTCCTTAACTAAGTCTCTGCATTTAAATCAATGTGTTTATATACTTCTAAGCAATATTAGCTTGTTTTTAAATCGGATATAAAAAAATCACAAAATATTCACATTGTAAGTACAACATTGAGGGAGGAATTTTCACTGAACAGTCAATACAGCTCCAGTTTGGACAAACTCGTCCCAGAAAACACCTTTTTTTTACTTGGTGGTAGCCATTAAAAAAAAAATCTGTCACACTTAATTTGTAGCCAAAACATTACAAAACTGTGTCAAAATCTGATCAAATCCAATGTATAAACATATTATTTCCATTGTTGACATTAACAGCTGTGCTTATTGATGCAGACAGAAAATCCACCAGTTTAGTCTTGCTCAATTATTAAAAATCAGCCCGCATTTGACATTGGGTTGTATTTGTTGGTTATGATCCACTTGCATTTCAGTGGAATTTGTCGCCTAATCGTGTCAGCAAATTAGGGGAGTATTAGTGGAACAATCCCCTACAAGCACCGCTGCTGGTGGTTGGCCAAATTTGATTATGAACCGAGCTTAATGTGCCCCAGGCCCCCCTTCCATCCCCTCCTTCAGTAATCAATGCAAAATGTTGGTTTTTAAATCCAGTATGTTTAAAAAAGAATGCTGGGATTTTTAACGGCCATTTCTCGGGATTTATTTAAGATAATTAAAATATTTAAACGTCAAATTGGAGGAAAAAGAACAATGTTTTTCCTCATACTTTGATAACATTCGGACCAATTTTAATAACATTCAGAATTTCATCAATCTCATGAGCGTAAAACTGGCTAAGTTGTACTCTTACGGCGATCGGCAGGTTTATCTGATGTCTTAACTGAATGTTGTAGGCACAAAGACTCAATCTTTTAAGGATAACATAAAGTGTCGATTTAGGTATGATTAACTGAAGACTTGTCGGGAAATCGTTTTTTTTGCCGATGCAGATTTGTTTTCTCCGACTCTGTCATCAGTCAGAAAACAACTGCAGTTAGTGAGCTTGTTTTTAGCCGGCCAGGTGAATGTCTTCAAAACACTACGGTGCCACAAAACTCATTAAACCAGCGTCAAATTTCTTTATCATCAAGTAGATTCAAGTTTAGTTTAATTTAGCAATCAATTTAAACTTTGGGAACCATCTGTACATTCTGTGCCTTCTGTTGCTCCGTAAACATCGTACAGGCGACTGGTGTCAGGCATGTGAACCTACCAATGGCAGCCTACCACCCTGCACCTGTTTTGCGCATGCGAAGGTCAGCGTTTCTTCCCTTGCTACATGGGAAACAAAACTTAGTAATTAACTTCAATTTGGCGTATAAAACGTTAAGTTACCTTGATTAGTACCCAAACAATTACCATTTAAAATTCAGACATTCTTTTGTAAACACCATGTATTGGTCAGGATTATCTACCAGTTTCAAATGGTACTTAAGGTGGTATTATAATTATGACATTACTAGCGAGCTTTATTTGAGTGATTTATTTTTAGTTGATACAATCGCCTCAAAAGTATCTTAGTAGCTATTTATTTTAGGTTGTTCCACTAGTACCACTTTACCTGTTTTCATTCCCAATCTCTTATTCATCAATTTCTTTCAATTGTATTAATAACAATAAAAACACTTATACATTTGTATTTGTACTAATCCTGTTTGGTTTTGTTACAGTTATCGAGCAAAACATTGAGCAGGAAGAGCAAACAAACAAATCGTCAGCGGATCTCAGGATACGCAAGACGCAACACTCAACGTTGTCCCGCAAGTTCGTCGAGGTGATGACCGAATACAACCGAACACAGACCGACTACCGGGAGAGGTGTAAGGGCCGGATACAACGGCAACTGGAAATTAGTAAGTGCTATAGAAACAGAAATACAAAATTCCTAGGTGCAAATAGAAACAAAAATCTAAAATGGTCTGATCATCAAATTCAAATTATTATCTCGCCAAAAGTATTGTTTGAATTTTGAGTGGTTTTTAAATCTTCAGGTTTACATACAGCTTTTGCTGTTTTTCGCGCTCACACCATGTCTAGGTTTTCCTATGGTTTCAGGGTTGTTCCCCATTGTCAACTTTTTTTGCAAAAATAGTCATACAAATTTTAACTGATAGTGAACAACGTTCTTCTTGCCACCGTCTTTTTACTCAGATGTCACTTTTTACATTTACATTCTTCAATTGTGCATTTAACTTATAAAGAAGATTATGAGACATTTTTAACACAACAAACTCTGTTTACAGCGGGTAGACAAACAACCAATGAAGAATTGGAAGAAATGTTAGAACAAGGAAATCCAGCTGTGTTCACGCAAGGGGTACGTTTATAAATTAATTTACAGATTTACAATTAATGTGCTCCACAATTTGTACTTTGTTTAAAAATTGTTTGTATTACTGTATAACGTATTTTTTGTAAAAGAATTTTGTCTAGGACTTTTTTAGTGGTTTTGCCAACTAATATAGTTACATAAACTAATATGTAATACATAAATCATTTTTTGTCATTCTGCTGAAAAAAAATGCTGTTTTCAATAGCCTAAACATGTTGCCTGGCACTCTTCTTCTTCTTAGTGTTTCAACTAAATCAGCTGGAATCGTAATCGAGCACACAACTGAAAATTTTATTGTTGAACATTTTGTATGCTGCTTATGTCTACAAAAATAGTTCCGATTTACCATTATAGTATCTTTAGAAAAGTTATTTTATTGTTTATCATTGTATATTTCACTACTCTATTGTAATTTGGACAAATAAAAAATTAATGTGTTGCCTATTGAGTGATGTGGTAGAGTGATATTTATTGTGCCTCAATCACAGTAACAGCTATTTATGAATAACTTAAAAACAAGAAGAAAGCATTGCTTATATTCTGTGAATTATTTACCTTGAGGAACGGTAGAGTATGACAAAAATATAGTTCATCACACAGGTAAAACATGTCTTATTGACTCAAACCTCAGTTTGGGTCAAAAAGAGTCACGTTATGCCCTGAAATGAGTGATGAAATATAGTAAAATCTCACTAGATCTTAGCTGTGGTATAAAACCCACACACATATTAGTCATGACTATGACTATAACTATTCGCTCAGGTAAAAAAAGTGTGTAATTTTAAGAGACGGTTTTTTGCAGATCATCATGGAGACGCAGCAGGCCAAGCAGACGCTAGCGGACATCGAAGCTCGACACGCAGACATCATCAAGTTAGAAAATTCCATCCGTGAACTGCACGACATGTTCATGGACATGGCCATGTTAGTGGAAAGCCAGGTGGGGACAAATTATTGGAACGGCCTTTATTATTATTGGATATTTTAAATGTAAATGGATTTTAAAAATAGTTAATTTAACTTTTTAGGGTCTTCTATTAAGGGAAACCACTATTAAAATTTGCTCCATGCAAATAAAGGTGATGCAAACCAACCTAACCTATCTTAACCCAACTTAACCTATCCTAACGTAACCTAACCTAATTGCCCAGAGCAAATGATAATAGTGGCAACACAATTTTTGAATGATTGATTTTTCCTGTTTAAAAAAGAATATAGTATTTGAATTTAAAAAAAAAAACTAGTAAGATTCAACTCTGGACTATCTATTTTTGTGGTCAAAGTCTTTGGGTGTAACCAAACAGTCTCACATGACATGACGATCGCTACTCTAAGGCTACAACCTGAATATAGAGTGAAACTTGAAAAATTCAATGCGGGAACATTGACTTTGTAGTACAAGTAGACTTCTCGTCCTGTTGCAAAATCGGAAGTCAGTTTTGATGTGTGTTTCATTTTGACGACCTTTTTGCAGGGCAGATTTCCAACAATTGTTTCTTATTTTTGGGTAAATGTTATAATAGTTGTTTCAATCTTTAGCTGTAATACCAGAGGACTAAAGTATGGCAAACAAGAACAATTGTAAACAATGAAAGTAGATATAATACCAGAATATGACCCCACTTTCGGCGTTTTAGAGGCACTTTTAGGGCACTTTTTATAGGGGAAAAATGAGAAAAAAATGGAAGAGCTTTTTTTGGCCACTTTTTTTAAAGACCCAGCTCTCGACCTATACACCCCTATATAAATTTTCTACTTTTGTTAATACTAAAAATCACGTCTGGAAATGGTGAGCTTTTTTTGGCCACTTTTTTAAAGACCTGGATCTCGTCCAATACAAGCCTATATAAATGTTCAAACTCCATTAAAATTTCAAATCCACATCCATTCCCATGTATATTTTCAAAATCATGTGAGGTTTGTGCGCGAACTTGGGCACGCTTATGGCTATGTGTAAACTATGCCTGACTCAAATGAATGACTGTGAGTGTAACCTAATGACCCCAATCAAAACCAATTGTCAACATTCTCTGCCTGTCTGGCGCCAGTCTGTCTGGGGCAGGTTTAGACAATTACCAAATATGTTTGATTGATTGACCTCAATTATTCAATTGTTCAATTTCAGTTTGTTCAATTTCCATTGTTAAGTTCTAAATTAATTTAGACAATTTTGTGGTATATAAGGGGGGCATTCTACGGAATCATCACTAACTCTTCCACCTGGATCTTCTTGTTTTGGTAAGTCTTTGACATCTAAGCTAGACTATTGTAATATGTTGTCGCGTGTCGGGTCATGGGATCAATTGGTGACGTAATTGATGCTTGTACTCATAGGCCTACTCTGTATTTCTTTTAACTTAGGAGTGTAGCTAATTTCCCGAGTCCATTTTTCAAAACTTAGCCGAATTGAGTCACTAAGGAACTTGTAAAAAATGTATATAAGTCTATTTTTAAACACTTAGAGTATTTTGAACAGTCACTAAGGAACTTAAAATGTATATAAGTCTATTTTAAAAAACTTAGCCAAATTCACTCATGACTTTGAGTCAAAAGTTTGCACAAGTTATTATTTAAAAACTTAGCCGAATTATACTCACTATATAATTTTGTCGAGTTCCTTTTAACATAGGTAACATAGTCTTCTCTATAACTAACACTCACTCTGTATATATGTAGACTCAGCATTCTGAATTGCTAAAAAGTATTTTTACTTAAGATTTTGGATTTAGTTTTGATTTAAAAAATTGCAATTGCCAAATTTTATTGTATGAAATTGTTTTGAATATTAAAATTTAAAATTCTGATTTAAATTATTATTTCCCATTAATTGAAATAGTCTAAAATGTAATTTCCATCATATAGAAGATGCTAACTTTGTTTTTTAGTTACATGTCAACTGTGTGCTGCTTCTCTATCCAAAAAAATAACTTATTTTGTTATTACTATTTTTAAGTGAGTCAAAATTGTGCACAAGTTATTATTTAAAAACTTAGCCAAACTTCATGCAACGGGGGACTTTGAGTTAAAAGTGTGTACAAGTTATTATTTAAAAACTTAGCCAAATTCACTCACGGGGGGGGACTTTGAGTCAAAAGTGTGCACAAGTTATTATTTAAAAACTTAGCCAAACTTCATGCACCGGGGGACTTTGAGTCAAAAGTGTGCACAAGTTATTATTTAAAAACTTAGCCGAATTATATTCACTATATAATTTTGTCAAGTCTCCTTTAAAATAGGTAACACTCACTCTGTATATATGTAGACTCAGCAATCTGAATTGCTAAAAAGTATTTTTATTTAAGTTTTTGGATTTAGTTTTGATTTAGAAAATTACAATTGCTAAATCTTATTGTATGAAATTGTTTTGAATATTAAAATATAAAATTCTAATTCAAATTATTATTTCTCATTAATTGAAATTGTCAAAATGTAATTTCTACTATATAGAAGATTCCAACCTATTTTTTAATTACATATATAAAAATGAAGACTACATGTCAACATTGTTTTGCATCGCTCTCCAAAAAAAGCAACCTGATTCGCCACTACAAGGTAATACATAAAATGAAGGTGAAACTGTGCAAAGTTTGTGATATAATCTGTGATAATAACATGGCTCTAAAATCTCATATATTACAAACTCATAAGACTTGTAATTTCTGTAAAAGAAATGTTGTTGGTCATTTTAAAAGACATGTAAATTCTTGTAACAAATGTCCATATACAATGATTAAATTTGTTGGTGAATCGATTAAAACTGAACTTAAAAGTACTCTTCAGTCTTGTCCTCTACCAATAAAATGGACTTTAGTAAGGAGAATCAAATTTATAAAATATACAATAGATCAAAATGGAAAATTAGTTAATGAGAAAGAATGTATTGCAGATTTTAGAAGCCTTACTACCTTAACCATTGAGAAGAGAGATTTAAAGCCTCAAATTGAAAATGTCCTTTTAAAGATTGACGCTTCCATACACAAATATCAAGCCGAAGGCAGTGGATGGATTTATGACCATACTAAATATTGGCAGTTGCACGTTTACAAGTATAAGCCCCTAACTCCAAAGTCATACATTCCCACACCAAAAAGTATTAAATTGACAAAAGCAGTTTTAAATATAAAGAATGTTGATAATAAATGCTTCCTTTGGTCAATTTTAGCAGCTTTACATCCAAGGAATGCTAAACATGCTAATAGAGTCTCTAACTATGCACCCTACGTAGGTAAGTTGAACATGACAAATATAAAATATCCCGTAAAAATATCTGACATAGATCAATTTGAAAGAAAGAATAATATAAGTGTTAATGTATTTGGAGTTGAAGACCAAAAATTTATATATCCATTAAGAAGAACCAAACTGAATAGTAACACTCATATAGATCTATTATTATTACAACAAGGTCGTAAATCACATTACTGTTTAATTCGTGATTTTGATAGGTTAATGCTACGGTCAACAAAAGATAACAGTAAAAAGCATTTTTGCAAGTTTTGTTTACAACATTTTTACACCAAAGATAAATTGGAGTGTCATATAACATATTGTAAAAACTTTGATGTCCAACGAGTGGAAATGTCTAAACAAGATACATTACAATTTAAAAATTATAAATATCAACTTAAAGCCCCATTTGTAATTTATGCTGATTTTGAGTGCTTTATAAACTCTAACAACCATACTCCATCTGGATTTGCATTTGTCGTAGTAAAAGATTCTAAGATTATTTCTGAAGAGTTATATAGTGGCGAAAATGTTATGGATGTGTTTTTCGAAAGGTTGTTTGAGACTTATGACTTCATTAAAAATCAAATGGCAATATATATCCCCCTTGTAATGACTCCTGAGCAAGAGGCATCTTTCCAAAACTCAACACATTGTCATATTTGTGAAAAGCCTCTATATTTTGATAGGGTACGGGAACATTGTCATTCAAATGGCCAATACCGTGGAGCTGCCCACAATGATTGCAATTTAAACTATAAAGTAACAAAGAAAATACCAGTATTCTTTCATAACTTAAAAAATTACGATGGACATTTAATTATGCAACACTTGGGAAAGTTTAATCGTAAATTAAATTGCATAGCCAAAGATATGGAAAAGTACATTTCATTCTCTGTTGATGATTTAGTATTTTTAGATTCCTATAACTTTCTGTCCCTTCCATTATACAAATTAGCTTCCAATTTAAATACATTTAGATTCATAGACAATCCACTACTACAACGCAAAGGCGTATTTCCCTATGAATATATGACAGGACCAGATAAGTTTGCAGAGTCTCTACCTCCAATTGAAAAATTTTACAGTACTTTAACTAAAGAACATATCTCTCCCATCGAATATGAACATGCTAAAAATGTCTGGACCCATTTTAATATACATAATTTACAAGAATATCATGATTTATATCTTAAAACAGATGTATTGCTACTGGCTGATGTGTTTGAGACATTTAGAGACCTGTGTTTAAAGGATTACAAACTTGACCCCGTACATATGTATTCACTTCCAGGACTAACATGGGAAGCTTGTCTTAGAATGACTGGTATAAAATTACAATTATTTCAAGATATTGACATGCATTTGTTCATAGAAAGTGCAATCAGAGGAGGAGTCAGTATGATTTCTACACGTTACGCTAAAGCCAATAATAGATATATGGGCGAAAATTATGATCCCAATCAAGAAAGTGTGTATTTAATATATTTAGATTGTAACTCGCTATACTCCACAGCTATGTGTGAGACACTACCCGTGGATGGATTTCGTTGGACGAATGAGATAGACTACAAAAACAATCAAAATGATGAGTTTGGATATATCTTAGAAGTTGATTTAAAATACGATAAAAGCTTACATGATTTACATAATGACTATCCATTAGCACCTGAGAAAATGAATGGCAAATTAATACCTAATTTAAATGACAAA